CGATTATTCTTCGATAACAATTTTCCTTCGTGTATGTCAAAACGTATTCAATTACAGAAAAAATCCATCCGCATTTCAATTATAACTCAGAAGGTTTTTATATCTAAAATTCCAAATCCTGTACGTGCTGCGAGTTAACAATATTTCGCAGCACGTACAGAATTTGGAATTTTAGATATAAAAACCTTCTGAGTTATAATTGAAATGCCTATTGCAGATGGTCTAATTTAGACCGAAACGTCTTATTGTAATAAATTTTATATAATATATCATTTTCGCTGACGATAATTGGCGTAGTTCAATGCCTTTGATTTTGTATTGTTTTTAATATTAACCACGTCTCGACTTATTTCGTTATAACTCTTAATTGTCTCTATGTTTTAATTAATTTATCGCTTTGTTAATATTACGTATTTGTGTCAGTATTTAATCCCGAATAATTTGATTTGTATATGCGCCTTTTTTTTATACCATCGTCGGAAATACTCTGTTGTACTATCGAAGCAATTTACCGTGACCTTCATTATACTTTCCTTCCGCGCGGAAATGATTTCAGGATATATATCGAGCGATTATTCACCGGAACAACACCGGCTTTGAAAACCAATGCGAAAAGAGAGAGAAAGAGAGAGGGAGAAAATAGCACAAAGAGGAGACAATGTCTATCGGATATTAGCTCACCAGGTCCCAGGCGTTCAGACCAGGTATGTACCGACCGACCGGAAAAGCGATGCCGTAACCGCCATAAATGCCCCAATTGAAAATGGACATGACGAGGCCCCGTTGTTCTTCCGAGAACCAGTCTGACAGAAGACCAGTCGCCAACGGATTGCATCCCGCCTCTCTGCAATATTTTCGTTCGGATTTCGACATAACGTAACACGGTGTGATCGTAACTCGTTCATTCGTTAATTACGAACGAACGATCAGAAGCGGAAACGCCAGAATTATATTACCAGGACTTACCCCGCCGCCAGAAGCATTCGCAGAATAACGAGCTGCCAGTATTCAATCACAGCTCCGCTCAAGATGATTGCGACGCTGAATATTACAGTGCAGACGGTCAGCAGTTTCACTCTGTAACGAAAAAGAAGAGCGTTAAAGATGTAGCAAATATATTTTGTCTGTGCAATTATAGGTGCTTTCCAGCAAGAGATGTAGATAACGGTGAGTCATTATATCCTTATTGTTTGTAAAAATTCTGTTTGTTAAAAGAGATGAAACGATCACTGTGCCTTTTTGCTGGAAAACACAGAAATTAATTCGATCGGTTCACCTGTTGTATCTGTCGGCCGCGACTCCCAGGATAATACCGACGATCGTGTAGACCGCGATGAAGCTGGGCCCCGCCAAGATTTGATAGTCCAGACCGAGGCCATTGTAATTCCACTCGCAGTAATAGGACCCGTTCAATTCCAGGGATTGGCAGCTGTAACAACAAAGAGCGTTTATATGAGTGGATCGAGCGAAAGCGCGGCGTAATGACGCACATGATAATTGCTGCGTTGGTGTACAGCGAGACCTCGATCCGCACGATCGATCTGTCCATATAATTATCGCGCAAATTACGTACGATTCGTTTACACGAAGATTCATCTCGCATCGTGAATCACGCGAAAAATTATTTGCGGCGCTTATAGTAATTTTTCTGGAACGTTAACTATTAATCTCACCGGAGTCGCGTGTCTTCTCGCAAGCATTTCGTAACAGTATCTCAGTTTTATTATCGATGCGTGATTTAGCAGTATTAAGCCACGCGCGGTGAATCAATCTCCTACAAGGAAATCGAGTTGCGAGAGGAAACGGCGATCTAAGCTAATTATGCTTACAGTTACACGTGAGTCTCTCGGCGGAACGTTTTTCCAATTGGGATTTTTTGGAGCGGGTGACGTTAACAAAACTTACTAGGTAGAATTCTCCGCGGTTTCGCATGGCACCGGAAGTTCGGCCACCGTCAGCGTCGTTGAATTAAATTGGCAGGATATGTCACCATAATGCAAGTCCTCGGCGACCGCTTTGCTCGTCACACCTTGCCGTTTTAATAAAAAAATCAGATACGTTGAAAACTCATGTAGTTAACAACACATGGAAAGAGAATTCAATTCGAGCGATTATATTTCGTTATCAGAATTTGATTCACTCTAAAGAGTAAAAATTAAACCAATCTTGAAACAGAGCGGATCAGTTTTCTATCTTTGAAAGAGTGAGATTTACTTTAGGAGTTTTAGAGAGTGAATTAGATTCATGATAAATATGAAGGAAACTACCATTAGAACTTACCTATCAGAAAATGGCCCAATTCTGCTATGATATAGCCGATTGACATTAGAGCCAACGCGTAAGGCTTATAGAGGAACGCAAATTTTTGCGTTATCGAACGCAACATCCTTCCTCAATCTGGAAAATGCATATTTCAAAGAAGGATTCTTTCCTACTCACATTACAAGATTGCGTGCCGTGCAAGATTACGTAATTAGCATACGACAAGAATTACAGCTGTCGTGTTTGTCGACGAAGATATCAGCTATCGCGCAATCGACGCTTTTATCCGCGAGCTTGCATTAGTCGCGATAGAATGCGGATAAACGTTGTACGCGTGTACGCAATAAATTACGCCGAATTGAATTACAAGCCGTTTCCATAAGAATCTAACAGCATCTTCAATCACGCCTGGCTTGGGAATCGTATATTTTTAGGAATTCCCATGGTAAGAAATTCTCGGTTGTTAGATCTCTGATGTACTTTTCTTAGAACGCTATTACATTTGATCTTTTCAGAAGGAAAGAATGCCGTTGTATCGTTCGCTGAGGGCTCGCATCGTTTATAAACATGAAAGACGCCGATCATCAGTCGCGTATCGTTCATCGCCAAAACGGTACTATACGAGAATCGCAATCGGAAACGCGGCGAGAAGAACTGTCGTTACGAAACAGCTTTTATTATTCGCGATCGATCGACACACGGTAGTATTTTAATTTCAATATCCTGACCGAGGTAGCGGCTACGCCGGTCAGTACCGTGCTGGTAATCGCTCAAGGTCTCTACCGGTGCGATTTACCGGTGGTATAATGCAATTGCCTCCGCGAGAACGGCACGTTGCATCGACCCTAAAAGTAAGCGGGTTCCGCGTGATACGTTCACTAGCGCCAGACGAGTGTCCGGGTCCGGGACACAATCGGAGAACGGTCTGATTCAATACAGATGTTGTATGTACTCTTTGTAAGAAATGATCGTCTTAAGGCCCGTCTACACGGAGTAAGAAGTAAGAGTAAGAAATTGATCAATCACAGCCGAATGTGAGAAGAATAATCGACTGTGATTGGTCAATTTCTTACTCTTACTTCTTACTCCGTGTATTGTAGACGGGCCTTGATAGCAACATTTTTGCTAATAATGTTACGCCGCGGATCATTGTTGAATTGTCACTTTAATTACACGGAACGTACATCATGTATGTATTTTTAAATATAGTTTATCAATTGATGATTTAATTTGTAAGATAATGTAATGCCTTGTATACAAATTGAGATAAGCAGTTGTATGTACAAACATTGCGGCTGAAGATCTATATATAACTGTTATTAAATTTAGTTAAAGACTTGCGTTATGCCATAGATTATATACTTCGTTGCGTCATCGTGACATTTTGCGAAAGTATTGACATAAAAGGATTAAAGAATCTTCGCCATGGTCATTACAATGACGATCGTACTCTCGCACGTGCCGCGACTGACACGTGCAATCTCGCGTAACCAAAATTACACGACAGTCATTATTATCGTAATTTTGTTGACATCGTTTTGATAAACAAGCGCATGAGTGTCGTCTTCGGAGAAGAAGCAAATAAGGAGGGTAGAATTATGAAAAGTGGATTGAAAAGCTCATGTTCTCGTACACGTGTGAGAAGCTTAAGATATTAGCCTCGTGCCGGATTACCTTGAACCAAAATCATTGAGATAGAACGAACATTATCATTCGTATGTATCGTTAATATTAATAGTAACATACAACTCACGTCACGATAAAACAGTATGCTTTAATTCGTTAGGCGAAAAAAACATTAAATCAGCGACGTGCGTTAATCTTTAACTCTTAATTTTCATGCAATTGAATTTTTCTAATTATTTTATTCTCTTTTAATTTACATTATATTATATGTCGAGCTAATTTGATAAATTACGTAAGGCGAATGAAACGAAGACGGAGCTGACGAAGCTAAACGAGAACGTCATAGGTAAATCGATCATGAACAAAAACTATATCACGCTTCACTTAACAAAGCGACGGACGTAGAGATGACAAAGATATTTTTGAAGAAACGAGAGATCGATGAAGGAGCCGAATGTTTCGAATGGCACGAACATTCCAATATCGACAAAAAAAAGTGCGATTAGACACGCTTGGAAAACTCGTTTTTTCGTAGTCAATCGATGACCGTTAGTGAATGTCAAGGTGTAAACTTGGCGATAAAACATCTGTAGCGGGATTCTCTAAACATTTTATCGATGATTGTTGCAAATTTAATATCGTTAACTGGCGACAACCAATGGCAGGACTATCCTGCACAGAGAAAATTTTATATTAAGTTTTAATACAATTTTAAATTACACTTTACTATGTCTTGTATTTTCGATGGACTCTCACAACATGATTCCGACTTAACTTTTACTATGGCAATACTAATTTTTATCACATAAATAAAGTAATTATTTTGTTAAGCCATATTCTAACATAAAAACAGTTTTACTATGGTACGCAAAGAAAATTTGCTAGGTATATTTGATTTTGTATAATAAAAAAATTTTACTATGAAAAAGTGTAAAAATTACGTTATATTATTGTTTTTAAAAAAATAACTATAGCATTTAAAGTTATAATTTAAACGAAGACCGCAGCTACTAACACATTATAGTAATTTTAAATATAAAATTTACTTCCGTGTGGAAGAAAGCGCGGCACTCATTGGCTATTGCTAGTTAACGATAGCGACAATTGTCGATAAAACATTTAGAGAATCCCGCAACTAGTCTCACGATAGCCTCGAAATGTTTGCGTTAACAGCGACAAATTATAGTTTTTCGCGACGGCTTTGATTGAGTCTCAAGAAACTGCTTCTGTCAGCGACGAGGTTCGCTCGATGCAGAGAAGCATTACGAATCTGTAATTCAATCCGCTGTAATTACACGCGCGAATGGTACGCTGATACAGCTAACGATAAGCAAGCAAAGCATAGTTACTTGCCTTAGTCAATATGAATAGTCGATATTCGTCTTGATGATTTGTCGTCAAACTATCGGAAGGTTGAAGGGCACGAGTGCAGTTTATACATATATTGATCATCATGATCACGCAAGAGTTGAGGCAGAAGTTATCGAGGGATTATTTGATTTATTAATGTATAAATCTTTAGCTGCGATCATGTGCGACGGTGATAGATAGATCATAAATAGCGTTGTAATAAGCGGGTGTACTACTTGAAATTACAGGCTGTATCTTTTCACGGAATCTCTCCGAGGTAATAATATTGGCATGAGCAAAGATTATGCGTCTATTTTGCACGTGCGGGATAATTTGAACGAAAAAGTCACTCACAATTACGCCTTTATCTGAGAAAACGATATAACTTTAAATTACTTTATATAATATACATTATATACAATTTATTTTCATTGGGCGAGATAACTGCTATTATTATTACGCGTTTTATTATTATCTCATCATTGAACATTACACGTGTATCCATGATTAGTCTACTCCGTTGGATAAGAAATTTATGTAATAAGGAAGCTTACTTTTTATTGGAATTATTTAATTTTCATTGACCTCTTTATATAATTTTTTAGATTAATGTTATATTCCTTGTGTGTTGTAAGAGATAGGATTATGAATCTTTTTCAGTTTTTAATAATTATGTCTTTCTGACTGATACTTAAAAAATAATAGAGTTTAAAACCCATGATATTTATAAATTTATTCCCATATTTTTTAAAGTGGACGAAATATTTAGTTTTTCTATCACTTTTTTATTTTTATGGTAATTTATTCGCTTGATCTTTTTAGTAAGTAATAAATGTAAGTATAAGTTCTAGCATTAAAAAGAAAAACATTTAAGACGCGATATTGTCTGCCAATCATAGATTATTTTTAATTATTTCTTGTAATTAATACCTCTGAGACCGAATAGGTTTCAAGCTTAATTGCCTTCCACGCCTCGAAGGATTGAAATTATCTTACCAATGTTCGCAGAATTTCATTGGATTTCTCACAAAAAGGATATCAAAATGATATGAGATAATAATAAAGTGATAAAAAGTTTAATTAATGTAAGGCTTTGGCTAGTAATTTAATCGTTTGTAATGCTTATCATGGCGAACAGAGATTTAAAAAAATTCTTGAAGCTGGGATTCGGACTTTAATTGCGTCTCGAGGATGATTTTGCAGATTTACAGTAAATTGCGAAACGCGGAAAACATGAATATATGATGTTATTGCAATATCTTAGGGAGGAGAACAGCTATAATTTACATCATAAAATATAGCTCGTATCTATATCTTATTACGCAGAAGTGTCATTATTTTGTGTTACATCATTGCCAATTAAAAGAGGGATATTTAAATGATAGATAAAAATCCGTTCCGCAACGTCAACGTAATGACGAGCGGAACAGACGGGCGCGTCGAAAACTGTTTATGGTTAATGAACGATCGTAATTGCATGTTCGTAGAAACTCGTAGATTCCAGATAAAATTCAACTATCATCTCTATTATGTCACAGTTATAGATAGAATCGTCGCTTCGAAAAATCTTCGGAAAATATCTGTCTACGTAAATATTTTTTGTCTACTGAGAAAAATTTCCAGACTTTATCTGTTCAAAATGTAACAAACGTATATATCCGATGAAATTTTAGGACTATCCGATAAAAAATATCAAGAAATTTCATCGGACAGTCCTATAAATACGATCAAAATCTATCGGAAATATCCGTTTGTTACATTTTGAACGGATAAAGTCTGGAAATTTTTCTCAGTGGACAAAAAATATTTACATAGCAGATATTTTCCAAGATTTTTGAACGGATAAAGTCTGGAAATTTTTCTTAGCATATTTTACAAATGCGTTCGCGATAATCTATTTATCTCGCACTTGACGATACAGAACCTCACTGTATTTGTGCGCTGTGCGCTCACGCGTTGTCAGCAATTAGCACAAAGGAACAAAAAAAGAGGAGGAGCGCGTCAAGGCGGAACGATAGACGCATCCTGCTCGAATAACGCGCGAATAATACACGAAGAACAATAAACAGCAAATTGCAGAATACGAGTGATTCGAATGCATATATTTAAACACTGCATGTATATATCTGGAGATATGTATCTATCTTAATTTCGTTCGTCGAGACTATCAACGAGACAATTCGCCGTCCATAATCCTCAAATCTCTTCTCGCGATTCGGGGCCTCGATTTGCAAGGCGATTTTCGTGAGTACGACATATTTTTACGTAACGGTTCACTCGGCTCTCCCTTTCGATATATTATTTATACATCGCCTCGAGAGAAGAGTTCGCGCGCGCCGCACCGATCGATTAAAAGCCATTCGCCGTCTCGCTTTCCCCGGGGGAGGGAAGGAAAAAGGGAGCAGCTTCCCGTGTTTTCCGGCCGATTGGATTTAATGATTTTTTTCCAGCGTCACTCGAGAGATTCCGCGGGGCGACGGACACCGTCGTCGCTTATACGGGATGCGTTCCGCGAAGCGTGCAAAGCGCTCTTACGAGTCTCGGCGGCGACCTTTCTTCGGTGAAAGTTTTATACCCGAGAGTAAATGAACAATATAAATCTCCGATGTTAACGATTAAATTCCCGAGCATCTTGCAACGCTGTCCTCGATAGCGTAATTTCACTTTCATTTTTTTTCTCTAAATTAAAGAAAATTTAATTGCGTAAAGAAAACGTAAGCGTCGCGTTCTGCAAATAGTCACAGGAACAGACGATCCCGTAAGTGCATGATTATAATTACATGGAAAGAACGATTGAGGGGTATTTCAAAATTTAGATTCAGATCTGAAAGTAATTATGTTTGATGAAGTAATTGTCTAATAATAAGATGATTAAACATGATGATAATACTGCAAAAAAACTTGATATTCTAACAAGCAATTTGAATGTTCTACATAACTATTTTCATCCGATCGAAATATTTTCAAATATGTATCTAGCTAGATGCTTCAACAAAACCATTCTTTCCATGTAGAAGCAATAAGTGCAGTAGCAGGAATAACTAGTAACTAAAGTAGGTAATCGGAATAACTATTCTGGATGAATATCAATTCATTGATTGATAACAATTAATACGCTATTAGAAGACGTACTTGTACAATACCTAATAAGCATATGTTACGTAAAAGTTAACTAACAAATCCACAATTATTACTATTTATTACAAACTGTCTGATTCATAGTTTTACGAATCCAATTTATGATACTGAATGGATTTACGCGATGTACATTTATAATCCGTTATTATTCGAATAATTTACTAAATTTAGCGTTCGTTGCATCTTACAAACATTTACACGTGGATATTTTTTTTTTTTGCTTATCTGCATGCATTTGTCATTAATAGGATATTTAGACGTACGTACATTCGCGAAATTGAAGCCAGTGCAATAAAAGACTGACACCATAAAATATAAGATGTTAGGACAATCGGTAATTCACGTGAATTTTTTAATGTTTGAATGTGTGAATATTTAATAGAGATGCGTATAATCGTAAATCGCACGATCCACAAAGCTATTGACAAAGCGATCGCGGCAGAGTTTTAATTAGAGACTGCGCTAAGTTGAAGGCTGAATGGACATTGTAGGAACGTGCGTTGGCATCCCGGATTGGATGCGGATCTAACGGGCCTCTAAGGCGTATCACGAGTTACGAGCCTCGCAAATAGCGCGGAACAGAGGTAGAATAGCGGCGGAGGCGATAATCGCATTCACATTAATTAATTAATCGCCGAGACCACCAAGATTACGATTGAGAGCGAGAGTCGAGAACGAGAGTCGCATCCGCATGCAATGAGAAACAAACTTGTTATTTACAGATTATTGAGGGTTTTAATTTTAGGATAAAATCTTGAGAAAAATAATGTCTACGCCTTAAAAGAATTCTTGAAAAATACACCGTAGTAAAAATAATAGATTTGTTTAATTCATTGTATTTTAAACTTTCTTTAAATAAAAATTGATAACAGACATAAATTTAATTATTCATGTATGGATATACATGCGCGCGGATTTATATTCCTGTCTGTTGACATTCCGAATGTTTTTTTACAAACAGTGAGGAATAAACAGTTATGCACGATTTTTCGTATTGCATATCGTTGTATTACAAGGCATATATGTATTGTCCAGAGTCCTATGCATTGTCTTTTCATCGCACGTTCATTCGATACTTTTATTACTTTCTTTCCTTATTCAATGCCAATTCAATTGTCAAAATCTGACTCGCTGAACATTGTAAATCGATCAAAACGATCGCTTCAGCTAATTTAGAGTTGATTTCCTTGTAACGTAAAAGTACGATAAACAGATTTTAATGCTTGAAATTCTGTCGGAACAAGTTCTGTTAGAATTGAATAGTCAAAGAAGTTGAAAGGAAGGTATAGTTTAGGGGCACTGATACAAGACATCGCTATGTTAGAAGAAAGAACGTTCGACCTATATCTCCGGAATAAAACAGAACAAAGAAAACCTCGTAATATCTTGACATTAAACTTCTTTCAGCAAATGTTTTATCAATTTGCTGATGCAACAAGCTTCTCATTCGCCTCTCAACAAGTGGAAAGCTGTTGAGGAGCTTACACGTTTTTTTGATCGCTCGAAAAGATGAGCAAGATTGCTGCTCATGACTTTTCCGTAAGAAATTTCGTCGAAAATTTATAGGGCTAAAAAAGTACTCACAAGTATCCTTTAACGAGTAAAACCGAGAATGTTAAATTCCAGAAAAAATTGAAAGAAATCCACTTCTCGACACTGGATCAGCGTGACGCGCGATGACGAAGGGAAGTCGGGCGAGGAACCAGGTGAGAGATAAGAGAACAAAAACGGTCCCGCGGATCAAACCCTCCGCGTACAGGAGGGTGGAGCGTCAAATGAGGCACGAGCTGGTGACCAACGTACATTTATAAGAAAGTGTCCAAGGATCGGGCCTTCCTTCCGTGCGTCTAACGAAGGAAGAAGGGGACAGGACTCGCGATATGGTGTACACATGTAACTACACCTCGCCATGGTGGGAGACCACCACCACCATCAGCATATCGACGGCGGGGATACTCTCGATCTTCGATTTTCAAGGTCGCGCTGCAACTTGACCGCTTGCACCTTACTCGTTACATCATCGCTGCTGGAAAACGATACGGGAGAACAGCATGGAGAGGAGCGTGGAGAGACGTCGCGTCGCGTCGCGTCGCGGAAACGGCAGAGTCCTTCGGAGCGCCAAGTCACGCGCATTCAAAGCGAAAGATGTGTATCACGGGTGTTTCATCCGGATAATTAACGTATGCCGTACTTGGAGACGCTTACGCGGGAATGTAATGATCTCAGTACATTTGAAAGATAATTATATCGATCCTTTTGTAGAACCTCGGTTTTAAATAACTCGATCTTGCAATTTGATTTCGAGCTTGCGAAACAATCTGGCAACTTCTACGATCACTGATCACTTCCAGCCTATAAGGAATAGTCGGTCTTCGGTCGATCGCCATGAGCACAATAAGCGGCACGAGGTGATTAACCCCGCGGCTCGAAGAGCGGCACGCACCAACCTAAGTACATAGATACCTGGCATGCGATCGCCGTAACATTGACACACTTCCCCGTACCTCTCTCGTGTGTCACAGCTGTATAATGACAAAGGCGGCTTGTCGTCTCTCGCCTTGAGAGGCGGCCGGAGCAGGACGCGCATGTCCTGCTGTCGTGATCGCGATCGCGATCGTTAATCGGAGAACGTGGTCTTCGGGACAAGCTAAATGGGCTAATATCGCATTCCATGATTATTCATCGCGTCGTTCTGCTTCGAGAACTCGGCTCGTCTTTGTTTACAAGTTTGATTTAGGATTTTATCTTACACGCTGAAAAAAGTGTATCTAATTTTACATGGAAATTACATGTTTATGACCGGAAAATTACCTAAATATGATTGGAAATTTACAATTGCCAATCATATTTAAGTAATTTAAGTAACTTTTCGATCGTGAACATGTAATTTCTATGTAAAATTACATGCATTTTTTTCAGTGTAAGGAAAATTCATGTTCGTTTACTCGATAAACTTTATTGTTAATTTCGAGCATTTTATTTTATTAATTATATAATTATTAATTATTATACAATAATTATAGTCCTCTATAATACTATATTATTGTATAATTGTGATAAATTTGAAATACATGAATATTATAGATTAATAATATCATAAATGTGTGTGCTGCTTGATAGATTTACAATCTCCTGTCGAATCTTTCAATTTTGAGATCGAAGGACGAATGAAATTTTTTTGCCAAATCAAATGTAGTGGAAGCTTAAAAATACAGTATTGAAGTGTCTGAATAAATTCAGATTTGATCGATAATGATTAAACATCTGTCGATCCTTTTCTTTCGCTGATTATCGAATTATCGAGTAGAAAAAATAAGAGAAGAGGGAATATCGTAAATATCTCCTATTTACAATATTCTCTCTTCTCTTATTTTTTCTACTCGATAATTCGATAATCAGCGAAAGAAAAGGATCGACAGATGTTTAATCATTATCGATCAAATCTGAATTTATTCAAACATTTCAATACTGTATTTTTAGAAAAATATTACAGATTCATTTAATTGTTTTTATTTGATTTTTTTGTCATAATTTAAACAGTGTACGTGCGTTCCCTTCGTCTCTTTTTCCTTCACCGATTCAATTAATTTTACGATCTGCCGATACAGCGAATCGCCTTCAACTTCGCGCTCGTTTCCCCCGTTGCGAAACGTGACAGCTACGCGTGACAGGTGCGACAATCGACGTTACTGTCGACGACAAAATCGAAAGATGTAACTGCTGCACGCTCGCGGGGCGTGCATATCCGTGGAAGGCCGTTAGATTCGCGAGCGGAAACCTTCGTCCCTGCAACAGCGCAGGTAATTAGTGGCTTGGAAATACTGATTACAGGATCTAATATCGTTCGTGTGACCCCGACCTAATTTTTAATACACACGGGATTTCGATACTATAAATTAATCCCAACTCGTGTCGATGAGCTTTATTTCTGAAACGGAAGCGCATGTCGCGCTAGCTGTCGTTAAAAGCGTTTATATGTCGCATATTTTTTTATTCCTCAGTAATTCAAACGAATTCACATTCCCTTTCGCGAGTTGTAATTTTCAAGCTGTAACTATAAATTTGCACAAATGCGAACGAGCTAACGGCCTTTACATCACGAAAACAAATTAAGTCTAACGAATCGTGCGACTGATTTTGCCGATGATCGAATTAATAACGGCTCCGTTAATCGATCAATTAATTAGTGGGGGAATTTTTCGCATGCTGGGATAAGATTCGGAGGGAAAATTTCACTCGGGAGAGATTCGGTGGGAATCAAAGGAGCGCGCCCCCAGTACGCACTCTCGCTGTTATCGACCATCAGAAGAGGAGGCCGAGCCGAGCTGGCTCGAGCAGAACCGAGCGACACCGAATTGCGGATACAGAGAGGCGAGCCTCTCTGCGAGTCGTCCCTTCGTCGGCCCGGGATCTGGATCCTGTTGCTGATCGGTATTTCGGGTTACCGTCGGTTGCGATCCCGTGAGAACTCGCATTCGCAGTCCACTCGCGTCTACGAAGTCGGAAGGACGAGTTGGTACGACATCCAAACGAGAGGATCGAAATTCCGCGGATTCGGACTATGTTTACATCCCCCGGAGGGATACCGAGATCTGACATCCCTGCGTGACTCACTCGTGGGTGTAGAGAGGAGCATCAATTCAATCCGGAGTTAAAACCTCCCACGCACCTCCTCGAAAAGGGATCAGCGATTGATCGCGTTTCGCGGTCCTTCTCGATTTCGTGTGCTTCATATTTAACCCAGCTCATTGTTAATATTAATATGACGGGCCACCCCCAAACTGACTACACCGTGGTATCCGTGCGTGATTCATGGCAGTCTACTCGCGACGCGGAGATCTTCGTCGTCACGTCGCGTTCAATAATTATCGACGTTTCGCAGGTGCGTTAAATTCTTGCCGATTTGTTCGTGAGCGACCTCGCGAATTCAATTTCATTTCAGTCCTGAGCGGGGCAAGCGTCCATCATCTCTACACGACGAGGGCGTCAAGCTTCGCTCCATATGACCGATTAGTCTATCAAATCCCAGGGTGATATCTGACGTCCAACTTTGAGACGCGAATAGTCGCAACGATGATTCATCGAGTCGACTCTGAGATCTCGCGAGTGCCGCGAGTGCCGAGGATCTAGTTGTGATTTTGCGTCGTTATCGTTTAAGACGCAACGCGTTTTCGATCAGGTTCTAAAGACGTGCAAAGACATTCGCGTTGCAAACATTGATGACAGAATTCGTAGCTGTTGCACGGGATGAGAGCAACAATTTTGATTTCACGAGGGGCAATCACGCTCCGTGACGATCCACTGCGAGACAACTGGTTGAATTTGGGCAGCTCCTAGTCGGCGGGGACCATGGCGACTGTTTGGCCGGGCAGCTGCGTAAGCGCGAAAACGTAAGTTCCGTTCCTTCCTTCATACGAACTCGCACTTTTCATCCCATTATCATCGCTCGATTTCTTTGATTTTTTGAACAAGATTTAAAATCGTCTCTCCGACGTTTCGTCTAATACGTTCTCCGTCTGGATATATGGTATTCGGTTGTACGTGTGTATGTACAATAAACTGCCGCATCACTCCGTTGTCTTCGGTTGTGCTCGTCGACAGCCACGTTATTACCGTCGCGCGTAACGTAGCGTGAAAAATAAATCCTGCTTTGCGCGCGGCTGTCCTCTTCGATCAGGTGCTCCGCGTGCTGAAATAATCATATTCCAGTTGAAAGGCAGCGAAACACGAAGAAACGTAAAATTACCGTTATTTTTCAGTATCCCGACAACTAAGCGTCTAGTTATTTCCTGTGGGAGAAAATTAATTGGCATTATTTAGAAAATGAGATTTTCGAAAAAAAATAAGGATCTTACCGTCCAATTTTTGTTTCTTCCACTGTGGTTACTGGGTCTCTTTAGGACCTCGGTAGGTAATAAGTACGCAGCATTTTTTTTTCATTCTCATTCGTCGTACCTCTTTCCCAAGTCCAGCGACGCAAACCCACGTAATTATCGGCAGCTTTAACGTTACGTGGGCCGACGCGAGAATAATAACCAAGGTCAGGAGCGCGGACAGTGCTGAAAAACGAAATATCGATTCAGCATCGTGTCGCATCGGCCGCATTTTCCCCTGTGACGCACGTCGTTGCAACGCCGCGAGATGCATTCAGCATCCACGCAGTGAATACCGCACACACAATGCAGCTGCAATGCGCGCCCGTCGGTTTTCAGGCTACCTGATGGCGGGAACAGCCAGAACCGCAGCTATCAGAGCCCGTTTCTCCTTTAAAGGACTCTTCGTTTCCCATCGATATCTTCCATCGGTTATTTTTCTTATATTTTCTCATATCCGAATAATTATTTTATTTTTTATTAGATTTTTCACTCCCTGAATTTAAAATGGAATCTCACTTTACTTTTCAAAGAGTGAAAGAATTTAAAGAGTACTGTACCAAAAAAGATCTATAAACAGATCTTTAATTGTTTTACTTATTTTTTTACCAGAAAAGAGATCAGTTTACTGATCAGTTTGACTCCACTTTTTTTCACCTTTAAACGAAGAAAGTTTCGACAACTCTTACATAAAGAGGACTTAATTTTTAAAAATTATTTACTGTAAGTGTATTATCCAACCTTTGATATAATTTCGTTGACTAGTTTTCTATGTTCTTTCCAATATTTAATTTTATTTTTAATAATTTGTAAATAAGGTTTTAATCTTATACAACTATTCTTATTATTGTAATGGCTGAGGATGACTCATTTCGAAG